ATGTTGGCCGGGCATGTTGGATCACCTGAGGTCAAGAGCTCAAGACCAGCCTGGCCAACATGGTGAAACCCCATCTCTACTAAAAATACAAAAATCAGCTGGGGATGGTGACACATATCTGTAATTCCAGCTACTTGGGAGGCAGAGGCAGGTGAAATGCTTGAACCCGGAAGGTATAGGTTGTAGTGAGCCAAGATTGTGCAATTGCACTACAGCCTGGGTGATAGGGTGAGACTCCGTCTCAAAAAACAACCCCACAAATGTTAAAACTCAACAGTTGTCTCCAGCTGGGCACGGTGGCTCACGCCTGTATTCCTAGCACTTTGGGAGGCCAAGGTGGGTGGGTCATTTGAGGTCAGGAGTTTGATACCAGCTTGGCCAACATGGTGAGACCCCCATCTCTACTAAAAAGAATACAAAAAATTAGCTGGATGTGGTGGTGCATGCCTGTAGTCTCAGCTACTCAGGAGGCTAAGGCAGGAGAATTGCTTGAACCTGGGCGGCGGAAGTTGCAGTAAGCAAGATTGCACCACTGCACTCCAGCATGGGTGACAGATTGAGACTCTGTCTCAAAAACAAAACAAAACAAAACAACAACAAAACAACCAAACAAACCAACACCAGTTGTATCCTGAAATCTTCCCCTGCAGAAATATTGTGATAACAAACAGAAAGGATGCCAAAATAACCAAAAGGTATAATGTAAAGTTTTCCATGGTCTCCATGTATTTTGACTATATGATTCACCATTCTTTAGCCATTAATTCCAGGACCAACTTCCAAAATGAGAAAAATGATTTGCAACATGGCCTCATTTTTTTTTTTTATTGTGTGCCAGACCAGAGATACTGAACTCTAGAAATACGGGAGATATTTTGTATAAAAAAGATTATAAGTATATGAGAACCTACAAGCAGATATATCTACACATTAATAAAATCACAGATCAAAACAACTAGTTAACACAGAAATGATCACAGGAAAGGATATTTTCAGGAACAAGGGCTAAAATCTTATCCCAGCTTTCTTTATTTTCGAGAATATCTTGATTAACCAAGGCATATTCTTCAAAGTATTTATTTATTATGTTTATAGATTTTCTGTAGGAACAACAATAACACAGAGTCCCAACACTATTAGCAATACATATGCCACATAGGTATTGCGGCCATTGTGGGGAAGACTACTGCTTATTTTCATGACATTTTTAGAACTTAATTAGGTAAAATGGGAATATTATCCTTTGTAGGGTTATGATAATTAAATGAGACACTTTAAGGGAAAATAACCTGGCACAGAATAGGTTTACAAGAAATGTTTACTTTTTAAACCTCACAACTTAGAAGGTTAATATACGCAATAAAGGTAGAAAGCAACCAGCCTAGGACACCATAATACATCAGTAGTAGAATGGGGGATGCAGAAATTCACAATTTCCACTGTGAATTGCTTGTATTAACATCTCAACAATCATATAATGTTTGCAATTTACAAATATGCTTAACATTTACACTTTCACTTAATCATTGCCACAACTCTGTGAGACAGGTAGATGTTCTTCTCCCCATCATAGAGATAAGGAAATGGAGGCAGCAATATTTTATCAAGATCATAGTAAGTGGCAGAATAGGAATTTTTACTCCTAATGCTTTCCCACTATCCTAGAGAAGTAGTGAATTCAGTGGAAAAAGCATGGGCTTTGGAGTCACGCAGACCAGGGCATGAATCCTAAATTTAACAACTAACTTGTTGTGTGATGCCAAGCTCATTATACAATCTAAAACTCACTTTCCGCCGGGCGCGGTGGCTCAAGCCTGTAATCCCAGCACTTTGGGAGGCCGAGGCGGGTGGATCACGAGGTCAAGAGATCGAGACCATCCTGGTCAACACAGTGAAACCCCGTCTCTACTAAAAATACAAAAAATTAGCTGGGCATGGTGGTGTGTGCCTGTAACCCCAGCTACTCAGGAGGTTGAGGCAGGAGAATTGCCTGAACCCAGGAGGCGGAGGTTGCGGTGAGCCGAGATCGCGCCATTGCACTCCAGTCTGGGTAACAAGAGCGAAACTCTGTCTCAAAAAAAAAAAACAAAACTCACTTTCCTTATCTATAAATGGAAATACCATCAAGTCTCTTGTGGGGTGGTTGTGAAGAGCAATGAGAACATCTATAAAGCACCTATTACGAATACTGCAGCATAAAATAGGCACTGAATTAACTATAGCTATTATTATTATAAAATGCTACCCAGCAGTGAAAATTGATAGCAAGGTAACTCTAAAGGCACATGCTGGTAAATCAGACACCTTGAAGTGCATGGAGACTTTTCCAACAGACCTGATAAAAGGGTGAATTTTTTCACTTAGGTGAACTTTCTTTTTAACGTCTTGACCACCCTGAAAAATAAATCATCAAAAAAGAACTTCATATATACAATATAAAAGAAATACAATCATGTGCAGCATAATGACGTTTTAGTTAATGATGGACAGTATATAAGATGGTGGGTCCTACCAGGAGTGGTGGCTAACGCCTACAATCCAAGTACTTTGGGAGGCTGAGGTGGGTGGATTACCTGAGGTCAGGAGTTTGTGACCAGCCTGGCCAACATGGCAAAACCCCATCTCTAGTAAAAATACAAAAAATTAGCCGGGCTTGATGGTGCATGCATGTAATCCCAGCTACTCAGGAGGCTGAGGCAGAAGAATCACTTGAACCTAGGAGGTGGAGGTTGCAGTGAGCCAAAATCGTGTCACTGCACTCCAGCCTGGGCAACAAGAGCAACACTCCATCTCAAAAAAAAAAAAAAAAAAAAAAAAAAAAAAAAAAAAAAAAAAAAAAAATGGTGATCCCATAAGATTGTAATACTGTATTTTTACTGTGACTTTTCTATGTTTAGGTATGTTTAGCTACATCAATATATCAATACTTACCATTGTGTTACAACTGCCTACAGTATTTAGTACAATAACATGTTGTACAGCTTTATAGCCTAGGAACAATAGGTTATACCATATAATCTAGATGTATAGTAGGCTATACCATCTGGGTCTGTTTAATTATACTCCAAGACTTTTGCACAGTCATGCATTTCTCAGGATGTATCCTCGTTAAGTGATTCATAATTGTAATTTAAAAATTTATAGGGCTGGGCATGGTGGCTCATGCTGTAATCCCAGCACTTTGAAAGGCCAAGGTGGGCAGATCACCTGAGTCAGGAGTTCGAGACCAGCCTGACCAATATGATGAAACCCTGTCTCCACTAAAAATACAAAAATTAGCCAGCCATGGTGGCAGGTGCCTGTAATCCCAGCTACTTGGGAGGCTGAGACGGGAGAATTGCTTGAACCTGGAAGGTGCAGGTTGCAGTGAGCCAAGATTACGCCACTGCACTCCAGCCTGGGCAACAGAGCGAGACTGTCTCAAAAACAAAAAAAAATTCTTAGGCCAGGTGCAGTGGTTCACACCTGTAATCTCAGCACTTTGGGAGGCTGAGGTGGAAGGATAGTTTGAGTTTAGGAGTTTGAGAACAGCTTGGGCAATAAAGCGAGACCTTGTTTCTGCAAAAAATTTTAAAATTAGCTGGGCATGGTGGTGCATGCCTGTAGTCCCAGCTACTCAGGAGGCTGAGGGGGAAGGATCGCTTGAGCCCAGGAGGTCAAGGCTGCAGGAAGCCGTGGTCACACCAGTATATTCTAGCCTGGGTGACAGGGTGAGACCATGTCTCAAAGCAAAACAAAACAAAACAAAACAAAACAAACAAAACAAAACAAAACACCCAAACCAGAACCAAACTTTAATATGTTCTATTATTTTATATGTAATAAATCTATTTTATCATTTTACGTATCTCACAAAGGAAGATTTATAGCAAAATGAAATATCTTAAAACATGTAGCTGCTATGGCTGGGCACTGTGGCTCACGCCTGTAATCCTAGCACTTTGGGAGGCCGAGGTGGGCGGATCATGAGGTCCGGAGATTGAGACCATCCTGGCCAACATGGTGAAACCCTGTCTCTACTAAAATACAAAAAATTAGCCAGGCGTGGTGGCATATGCCTGTAGTTCAGCTACTTGGGAGGCTGAGGCAGGGGAACTGCTTGAACCTGGGAGGCGGAGATTGCAGTGTCTTAGATCATGCCACTGCACTACAGCCTAGGCCACAGAGTGAGACTCCATTAAAACAAAAACAAAAACAAAACAACAAAAAAAACATGTAGCTACTATGACTTTAAATGATCTATCGGTAACTTCATTTACTCTACAATGTGAATGCCACTAAAGGTAGTTTTATTTTCTTTGACAATAAACATATCAGGCTTGGTAACATCTAGAAAATAAAGCAGTGCAAATTAGAATTCAGAGGACCTTACCTTTACAAGGCTCAAATACTCAACTATCCCAGAACGTACTGCAGAAGACAATTTTCTAACTGATTCATCACAGACCCAACAATGAACACCTCTCCTTCCAGAATATACCCAGAGACGATGCTTAAATCCAAAGTCCTCTGAAGAGGAGAGAAATAATAGGTTTTAAAACAAATCTATAAACTCCTTAACTATTATATATTAAATTATTTGTTTCCTGTGGTCCCCATGTTCTTGCTTCATTTCTTTACCCATCCTGGCCTCTCTGCTGGGAAATTCTTTTTATTAAAAAAAAAATTATTTTTAAACCAATTATTTATTTATTTTGAGATTGGGTTACGAGACTGGCTAATTTTTAAATTTTTGGTAGAGATGGGAGTTTTGCCATGTTGCCCAGGCTGGTCTCAAATTCCTGGGCTTAATTGATCCACCCACCTTGGCCTCCCAAAGTACTGGGATTACAGGCATGAGCCTCTGTGCCCAGCCTCTGCCAGGAATTTCTTTATGCCCCAGCGCTTCCAACTTTCCCTGACCAATTGCCATTTATCCATAAAGACTTGGTCTAGGAATATTAAAAGAGCTAACATATTTACAGTGCTTAGAACAGCACCTGGCACATAATAAGACCCCTATGAAGAGTTAACTACCATCATCATCACCATTACCACCTCTGTTGACAAGCCTTTTCTCTTTTTTTTTTTGAGACAGAGTTTCACTTTCGTTGCCCAGGCTGGAGTGCAATGGTGTGATCTCAGCTCACTGCAACCTCCGCCTCCTAGGTTCAAGCAATTCTCCTGCCTCAGCCTCCCAAGTAGCTGGGATTACAGGCATGTGCCAACACGCCTGGCTAATTTCTGTATTTTTAGTAGAGATGGGGTTTCTCCATGTCGGTCAGGCTGGTCTTGAACTCCTGACCTCAGGTGATCCACCTGCCTCAGCCTCCCAAAGTGCTGGGATTACAGGTGTGAGCCATAGTGCCCAGCCTGACAAGCCTCTTCTGATCCAGTCTTTTCCCATTCCAGTATATACTCCTGCTGTTCAAGATCCCTAGAGCACCCTGTGTATTACTTAACACAAATGTAATCTTTGCTTTTCTTAATGGTCATCTTCTTAGACTACATAACCTATTTGAGGTATGCGTTGCTATGTTTTACATTCCCCTCATCTATGATAGTATGTAACATAGGTATTGACCACTCAATTGACTGAAATGGAAAAAAAGGAGATACACTGGTTTGTTAAATAGCTGTTTTAAAATTCCACTAGTACGTTATTCTTGTCTTTCATTTTCCTTTCACATGTTTAAAGGAGATATATTAGAAATTTATGAGATTTGGCCAGGCATGGGTAGCTCATGCCTGTAATCCCAGCACTTTGGGAGGCTGAAGTGTTTGGATCATGAGGTCAGGAGTTTGAGACTAGCCTGACCAACATGGTGAAACTCTGTCTCTACTAAAAATACAAAAATTAGCCAGGCGTGGTGGTGTACACTTATAATACCAAATACTTAGGAGGCTGAAGCAGGAGAATTGCTTGAATCCAGTAGGTGGAGGTTGCAGTGAGCCAAGATTGCACCACTGCACGCCAGCCTGGGCAACAGGGTGAGACTCCGTCTCAAAAAAAAAAAAAAAAAAAAAAAGGGAAAGAAATTTATGAGATTTGATCACAAAATGGAGAGACTAATATTAAGAGGAAAACCGATTTTTGTACTTGGCCCCATTCAGAAACTGCTGATACTTGCCCTTCAATGCTCTGTCAATGATGCGTATGGCCATCGTCATAAGGGTCCAGCACTTAGGACATATGTCTGCAGAACTGAAGCAGAGTCATCATTACTCCTTGTCAGTGACATCACCCACGCTAACAGCAAGACACACAGTGCTCACCTACAACATCTCCTCACATCGTCATAATCTGTCATGTCAATGTCAAATACAAGTTCTTTTTCCTGAGCCTGGAAAGCTCCCAGCTTCACTGTATTGTGTTGATTGGGCTACAAACACAAAATATCAATGAGTTTCTGTAAGAGCTGTCACATTGCTAAATCTGCTTATATTCTACACAGATGGAAACAGTTGCCAAAAAGAAACAAAAAAACTATATAATGCCAACTGTATGTCAGTTAAAGTTCATTATTTTGAATCCCACACACACACAATTGATGGGTCTTAACTTTCACAACTTAACGCAGGGTTTAATGAATACATATCCACCATAAACGTTTGTTGGTCAATACGGATAATAATAAAGCTGTTTTTAGATTTCTCATTAGGGAACATATACAAATAATGGCCTATTGTGAGGTGTTTTAAGAATCTTTACTTGTTACTGTACATACAGGTATTTAAAATTTTTCAATAATTCAAAAAGATCTCCCCATTTAGTTTTAACTGAGGCTTTATTATAAAGAGGCTATGAGAGGCTGAATGTTGTGGGTCACGCCTGTAATCCCAGCACTTTTGGAAGTTGAGGCAGGCAGATCACTTGAGGTCAGGAGTTCGAAACCAGCCTGGCCAATGGTAAAACTGTATCTACTAAAGATACAAAAATTAGCCAGGTGTGGTGGCACATGCTTGTATTTCCAGCTACTCCAGAGGCTGAGGCAGGAGAATCACTTGAACCTGGGAGGCAGAGGTTCTTGTGAGCCAAGATCATGCCACTGCACTCCAGCCTGGGCGACAGAGTGAGACACTGTCTCAGAAGAAATAAAAAGGCTACATATCAGCTGGGTGCAGTGGCTCATGTCTGTAATCCCAGCACTTTGGGAGGCTGAGGTAGGAGGATCCCTTGAGCCCAGAAGTTTGAAACCAGCCTGGGCAACATAGTGAAACCCCATCTCTACAAAAAAATGTAAAAATTAGCTGGGTATGGTGGGACATGCTTGTGGTCCCAGCTAATTGGGAGGCTTAGGCGGGAGGACTGCTTGGACCCGGGAAGCAAAGTTTGCAGTGAGCCATGATAGCTTCACTGCAGTCCAGCCTGGATGATAGACAGCAAGACTGTCTCAAAAAAAAGAGGCTATGATCTACCAAGTAAAGAAGGTAGACTGAGTACAGGAACTGGCTGGGCATGGTGGCATGCCTGTAGTCCTGGTTATTCAGGAGGCTGAAGCAGGAGGATCATGCCTGTGAATAGCCACTGCACTCCAGCCTGGGTGACAGAGCAAGACTTTGTCTCAAAAAAAAAAAAAAAGAACCCAAGAGTATATCACCACAATTTTTGTAACTAAGTCAGAAGGGAGTGGTAACTAAGGAGATTCATAAAAACTAAATCTTAGGTTGTCAGTAAGGAAAGATAAGAGGTGCAACCCAATTTATACGTCAGAATCCCCAAAAAGCTCAGGGATAGGTGATACCAGGTATTGCTGGAATGAGTAAGTATGTGTTTAGTGGTGAAGCTGAGATGAAAAACAGTAAGATTTTCAAGGCCACACTTGACTGAAGGGAAAAAAAAAAAAGGATTGGTTCAAAGAATAGCAAAGAAGCAGTTAGCTCGCCAGATTACTATACTTAGCTTGAAGAGCTAGGTGACTGCTCTTTCATTTCCCTGGCAGAAGACACCTGAATTATTTTCTGGAGAGCATAAAACAGAAGGTATCTGAACTTTGACAACAGGTACCATTGAATAGTATGTTGTACTGATATTAGGGGGAATAATTAGACATTTATATGTGGAATGTTAAGACCCAGCCCTTTCCCCCTACTTCTGTACTTTCACTACCAACTCAGGCAAGAGGCTGGAAGATTCCTCTCTGAAGAATCTGATCAGGGCTGGGCATGGTGGCTCACGCCTGTAATTCCAGCACTTTGGGAGGCCAGGAGTTCAAGACCAGCCTGGCCAATATGGTGAAACCCAGGGTCTACTAAAAATACAAAAATTAGCCAGATATGGTGGCATGCGCCTGTAGTCCCAGCTGCTTGGAAGGTGGAACACGGAGAATCACTTGAACACAGGAGGCGGAGATTGCACTGAGCCAAGATTGCACCACTGCACTCCAGCCTGGGCGACAGAATGAGACTCCATCTAAACAAAGAAAAGTCTGATCAGGGTTGGGCACAGTGGCTCATACCTGTAATCCTAGCATTTTGGGAGACCGAGGCAGGTAGATCACCTGAGGTCAGGAGTTCGAAACCAGCCTGGCCAAAATGGTGAAACCCTGTCTCTACTAAAAATACAAAAATTAGCTGGGCGTGGTAGCGGGCACCTATAATCCCAGCTACTCAGGAAGCTGAGGCAGGAGGATTGCTTAAACCCAGGAGGCAGAGGTTGCAGTGAGCCAATATGGCGCCACTGCACTCCAGCGTGGGTGACAGAGCAAGACTCCATCTCACAAAAAAAAAAAAAAAAAACAAAAAAGAGAAAAAAAAAAGAATCTGATCAGACTTGCCAGCGGCACTGTTCTAGGCTCCAGGGATAGATCCGTGTTCAAAACAAAGATGTCTGCCCCAGTGGAGTTTTCATTCTAGCAAAGATCTAGAAAAACTGACATCAGTGATAACATGGCCCAGGCAGATCACAGCGGTAAAGAAATCTCAGCCATGTGTACAGAGCTTCCTGTCTCTCTTTTGAGACAAGGTCTCACTCTGTCACCCAGGCTGGAGTGCAATAGCATGATCTTGGCCCACTGCAACCTCAACCTACCAGGTTCAAGAGATCATCCTATATCAGCCTCCCTAGTACCTGGCCTAGTAGCTGGGACTACAGGTGTGTGCCATCATACCCAGCTAATTTTTTTTTTTGGTAGAGATGAGGTTTTGCCATGTTGCCCAGGCTGATCTCGAACTCCTGAGCTCAAGTGGTCTGCCTACCTTGGCCTCCCAAAGTGCTGGGAGCTGGGATTACAGGTGTGAGCTAGCACACTTGGCCCAGAGAGACAGAGTTTCGCCCTTATTGCCCAAGCCGGAGTACAGTGGCGCAATGCTGGCTCACTGCAACTTCCACATCCCGGGTTCAAGTGATTCTCCTGCCTCAGCTTCCCGGGTAGCTGGGATTACAGGATTAGCCCAGCTAATTTTGTATCTTTAGTAGAGACAGGGTTCACCATGTTGGTGAGGCTGGTCTTCCTGACTTCAGGTGATCTGCCTGCCTTGGCACCCCAAAGTGCTGGGATTACAGGCATGACACACTGTGCTTGACTGGCCCAGAGCTTTCAATCAGCTTTTTAGCATTCCATTCTTTTTTTGTTGTTGTTGTTTTTTTTTTTTTGAGACGGAGTTTCGCTCTTGTTACCCAGGCTGGAGTGCAATGGCGCGATCTCGGCTCACTGCAACCTCCGCCTCCTGGGTTCAGGCAATTCTCCTGCCTCAGCCTCCTGAGTAGCTGGGATTACAGGCACGCGCCACCATGCCCAGCTAATTTTTTGTATTTTTAGTAGAGACGGGGTTTCACCATGTTGACCAGGATGGTCTCGATCTCTTGACCTCGTGATCCACCCGCCTCGGCCTCCCAAAGTGCTGGGATTACAGGCGTGAGCCACCGCGCCCGGCCTAGCATTCCATTCTTAAATATAAGCACAAACAAAAAATTATCAGACATATTAGAAAAGCCTCTAATATGAGAGGGGAAAAAACATGGAAAAAAAGCAACCTGGAGAAAACAGTATAACAGAAGAAATCTTAAAAAAGTATCATTGATATGCACAGAGATTTAAGACATATCAATGAAAAAAGTACAAGATGTTCTAAAAAAAAGCCCTTAGAAATTAAAACACACACACACACACACACACACACACACACACACACACACACACACACACAAAGAAATTAAAATACAACGGCAGAAATGAAAACATCTGAGAAAATCCTCCAGAAAGTAGAACAAAAAAAGAGATGGAAAATAGAAAATCAGTTGAAAAGGCCTACCATCTGATTTTAGGATTCCTAGACATACAAGAAAAAACAGGTAGACAAAATTGTGTTCTTAAAAAAAAATTCTCCAGAATATTATTTTCCCAAAATTTATTCTGAAGGACATGAGTTCATTATCATTAAGGGCCCATAAGTATCTAGCATAATAGATGAAAAAAGATGCACACCAAAGCACATCATTGTGAAATTTTAGAACATTAGAGACAGATGGGATTGAAAGAAAATCCTACGAGCTTCCAGGTGTAACACATTGGAAGAATCAGAATGGCATTAGTCCTCTCAACAGCAACACTGGAAATTAGAAGATAATGTGGCACTGTCTTCAAAATTTTAAGGGAAAATTATTTCCAACCTCAGCCATCAGTCAAATACAAAGGTAGAATGAAGACATTTTTCAGAAATCTAGGTGTCAAACATTTTGTCTTCCATGCACCATTTATCTGGAATCCCCTGGTGGATGTGCTCCACCAAAACAAGGGAGTTACAGCATTAGGACAGAGGTGAAAGGAAACTAGGGTGATTACAAGATTATATTTATTTTTCAGGATTAGAGAGCAATCAATCCAGATTGGAGGTCAGAAGGCTAAAGAAGAAAATTTCTTCAAGATAAAATCAACAAACTATCTGCTGGGTCTGAATATATTGGAAGAATTAGACAATTGGCAAAGAGTTTGGGGTTGAATGAGTTATCTAACCCTAATTTTTTTTTTTTTTTTTTTTTTTTTTTTAGACAGAGTCTTGCTCTGTTGCCCAGGCTGGAGTGCAGTGGCACTATCCTGGTTCAATGCAACCTCTACCTACCAGGTTCAAGCGATTCTCCTGCCTCAGCCTCCTGAGTAGCTGGGACTATAGGCATGTACCACCATGCCTGGCTAATTTTTGTATTTTTATTAGAGACAGGGTTTCATTGTGTTGGCCAGGCTGGTCTCAAACTCTTGACCTCAGGTGATCCATCTACCTCCACCTCCCAAAGTGCTGGGATTACAGGTATGAGCCACTGTGCCCTTCCCTGACCCTAATTTTTAATTTAATGAAAATTATATTAAGAGTAGGTGGGAATGGGAAATTTTTAATGCATTGAGGGCATAAAAAAATTCCCCAGCATTTCCTTTTCCCAAAATTTATTATGAAGGACATCAGTTATAAGGTCCCATAAGTATCTAGCATAATAGATGAAAAACGATGCACATCATCTGCCAGAGTGGAAAGACAGATTATGCTTAAAATGTAAAAGCAGAAGGAATACAGCCATGTTTAACAAGCAGGCAAATATTTTAACAATTAGCTAAAAGAAAGTGGTTGCTTCTGGGACTGGGTATGGTGGCTCATGCCTGTAATCCCAGCACTTTGGGAAGCTGAGGCTGGTGGATCACTTGCAGTCAGGAGTTTGAGACCAACCTGGCCAACATGGCGAAACACCGTCTCTAATAAAAAATATAAAAATTAGATGAGTGTAGTGGCACGAGCCTATAATCCCAGCTACTTGGGAGGCTGAGGTGGGAGATTCACTTGAACCAGGGCGGCAGAAGTTGCAGTGAGCCAAGATAGAGTCACTGCACTCCAGCATGGGCAAGAGAGCTAGACTCCGTATCAAAAAAAAAAGTAAAAAAGCGGTTGCTTCTGGGTAGCAAAAAATGAGGGGAAAAAAGGATAGCAGATTTTTTTTGAGACAGCATCTCACTGTCACCAGGCTGGAGTGCAGTGGCACGATCTTCACTCACTGCAACCTTCGCCTACTGGGTTAAAGCAATTCTCTCGCCTCAACCTCCTGAGTAGCTGGGACAATAGGCGTGTGCCACCATGCGCAGCTAAGTTTTTGTGTTTTTTGGTAGAGATGGGGTTTTATCATGTTTTACAGGCTGGTCTAGAACTCCTGACTCAAGAGATCTGCCCATCTCTGCCTTTCAAAGTGCTGGGATTACAGACATGAACCACTGCACCCCTCCTGGTAGCAGATTTAAAAAAAAAAAAACAAATAGAAGTATTTGATTTTGTAAACCATGTGCATACATAACTGGTACCCTAACCTTTCTTAGAAGTTAAAAAAAATTTTTTTGTTTTATTGAAAAATTTATTAAAACATTTTTTTTTCTTTTTTTGGCGCCGTGACTTGGATTCTTAGAAGTTTTTAAAAATTCTCAACCTATAAAGAGGAAGTAAACAACTCCAAAGTATTTTTTTTTTGAGACGGAGTTTCGCTCTTGTTACCCAGACTGGAGTGCAATGGCGCGATCTCGGCTCACCGCAACCTCCGCCTCCTGGGTTCAGACAATTCTCCTGCCTCAGCCCCCTGAGTAGCTGGGATTATAGGCACGCGCCACCATGCCCAGCTAATTTTTTGTAGTTTTAGTAGAGACGGGGTTTCACCGTGTTGACCAGGATGGTCTTGATCTCTTGACCTCGTGATCCACCCACCTCGGCCTCCCAAAGTGCTGGGATTACAGGCGTGAGCCACTGCGCCTGGCCCAAAGTATTTTTTCTGCCTGCCTTTTACTACCTCATCTCCCCTTACTTTGATGATGAGAGACAGGTCTGGGATTTAGAGTCAGACCTAAAGCCAAGCCAGGCAAATTGTAATTTAAAAAGCTTGACATAGCAATATTAGTTAGCAAAAGTATTTGGGTTTAAGTCCCAGCTCTATCATTTAGAAATTGTGTGTGAGCTTGGGCAAACTATTCAAATTCTCTGGGCCTGTTTTCTCCTTTGCAAAAAAGAATGAGGATTGATATAAGGAACAAGTTATATAACATGAAAAACTCCACATAAAAGCTATTATGCTGTGTATATATTCCCTCCACTCACCAATGTGTATATTTGAGAAGGGGAAGAGGGGCAATTTTGGTTTGTTCATTCACTCAACATATATTTATGGTGTACTCTCTCTTGCTAGGCACTCTTCTAGGCACTTAGTATGTATCAGTGGCAGGGGGTAGGAGAGTGGTGGTTATAGTAGACCTCACTTAGAAGGTGCTATTTGAGTAAAGATTTGAAGGAGGTGAGGAGATGAACCAAGTAGATACCTGTAGAAATGGGTTCTAGGCAGTGGAAACAGCTTGAGCAAGGGTCAGTGTGGCAGGAATGAAGTCAGTGAGGGGGAGAGAAGTGAGTGACTTTTAGTAAGTGAAATGAGCAGCCACCAGAGAATGTTTTGAGTAGAGGAATTACAGAAACTGAGTTGTTTTAAAAGGATCACTCTGGCTTCTGTATTGAGAATGGACTCTAGATTCTACAAGGGTAAACTCTGAGGAGGTTTTTATAGTAATTCAGATGAGATGATAATGTTGGTAGCACTGGTAGTAATGGCTGGATTTTAGATATACGTATGGTATTGCCAAAGGGATTTCCTAACAGAATGGGTATGGGAGTGTGAGAAAGAGAGGAGTCAAGAATAACTCCAGGGGTATGAAGGAAAAAGAATATAAATATTTATTAGGAATGAACTGTACATTTAAACGTGGTAAAGATGGTAAATTTTACATGCATATTTGACCTAAGTAAAGATAAACAATGAAAAGAAAAAAAGAATAACTTCCATGGTGGGAGAGAAAGTAATTCTTTTATTCTCCCCTCCCCCTTTTTTTCTTTTTGTGACAGTTTTGCTCTTGTCGCCCAGGCTGGAGTGCAGTGACATGATCTCAGCTCACTGCAACCACCGCCTCCCAGGTTCAAGCGATTCTCCTGCCTCAGCCTCCCGAGTAGCTGGGATTACAGGCGCCCGCAATTACACCCAGCTAATTTTTGTATTTTTGGTAGAGACAGGATTTCACCATGTTGGCCAGGCTAGTCTCGAACTCCTGACCTCAGGTGATCTGCCCATCTCAGCCTCCCAAAGTGCTGAGATTACAGGTGTGAGCCACTGCACCCAGCCTCCTCTTTTAAATCATGTTGACTTCTTCTTTCTAGTAGCAACATACTCAAGTTTTTTGTCCTAGTAAGAATGCAACCAATTCACTTTCAAACGATTTCATCAGCAATGTAAAATGTCAAAGAACAAAAATGGATTAATCTACTTGCCAATTAAAAAGTGGCTTTTCATCTAGAATAAACTCTAAAAATTTAATCTCAAAATGCTAGAGGAACCAACCCATTCTTGGTTTACAAAATAAATTAAAAAAAGAGATCTTACTCTGTGGGAATATACTGCGCCTATATCAATCTTGTATGGATTCATTTTCTGCATCTCTTTTTCCAGATCACTCTGGTTGTTGAAGGACTGGTAGCGAATGTAAATATCATCTTTCAATGTGAATGAAAATTCACGGTGTTGAAAGTAATTCTTTATCACTGGAAAATAAATGTACATTTTAAAGTTAATTTGCTACTTTATTCGGCTCGGGACATTATAACTTTAGCCAATGAGAAGTGTGTTTTTTTTTTTTTTTTTTCAGAGAGGGAGTCTCGCTTCTTGCTTTGTCGCCCAAACTGGAGTGTAGTGGGATCTAGGCTCACTGCGACCTCTGCCTACCGGGTTCAAGCGATCCTCCCGCCTCAACCTCCTAAGTAGCTGGTACTACAGGCGCGCGTGCCACCACGCCCAGATAATTTTTGTATTTTTTATAGAGACGGGGTTTCACCATGTTGGCCAGCTGGTCTCCCCCTGACCTCAGCTAATCCGTCCTCCTCGGCTTCCCAAAGTGCTCGGATTACAGGCCTGAGCCACCGCACCCAGCCAGAGATATTTGTAATGAGCCCCCTATGCTTAACACCATGGCAGACGTAAAAACAAAGAAACAACCAACCAACCCCACAAGCCCTAGTCCCTAATTTGGAAGCACTTACCATTCCACATTTGCTAGGGAAAGATACAAAAGACGAAACAGATGCGGAAACATTTTAAATATGTAATGCCACCCCTCTCTCCTCGATTTGCACTAATAAATTCAGCTGCAAGGAAGAAACTATTTCTACTCGTCTGACAGAGGCTCTTCCGCTCCTGATACAAACCAGGCCTCTGCAGATACGCCCCAGTAACCCCCTGGGCACCGCGGCAAGTAAACGGGGTACCTAAAGTGAGCCCGACCACGCAGAGGTAGGAGCGGCGGCTCGGTTTTTTTACCGAGTGGCCGCAGGCTGGTCATTATATCCTGTCTCGGCCCATTTACACCTAGGAAGTGGTGGGGCGGGCTCGAGAGAGCATAAGAAGGCCCGCGGCACAAAGCCGGGCGCACTGACGGCGCTTCACATTGTCATTCTAAGGACACCCCCGCCTCCAACCTCCTCACAATCCGCTCCTGACCCCATTCCCCGCCTTCATCACCTCCGCCGTAGTTGAGCCAGCGATAGTACTGAGAGTAGGGAAAGAGCCTCCGGTAATAAAGTTTAAGCAGCTCGGGCAGCTCGGTGGGGTCAAACGTCTCCATGGAGCGCGGAACTCAACCCAGGCAGGGCTACCACAAGAATTGGCGGGAACAGCACGTCCGGCGGCTCCGCTACTGCGCAGGCGCTTATGGCCGCGGCCCGCCTTCCGTGGGGGCCGCCGGGAATTGTAGTTCTCACTTGGTGTGGGCGGGGGCTGCGGGAGCCGCAGTAGTTGACGCTCTGCCTACGCGCTCCTGCACTAGCGACACCGCTCTTGTGGGTAGAAGGTCGCGTGCGTTCCAGGAAGAGGATCTTCTCCGGAAATGTGAGATCTGTAACATGTTGATTTAGGTTATTAAGATGAAGTTTTAGATTAACATTTAAGTTATTAAGATTTAGGTTATTGGGGCCGGGCGCGGTGGCTCAAGCCTGTAATCCCAGCACTTTGGGAGGCCGAGGCGGGTGGATCACGAGGTCAAGAGATCGAGACCATCCTGGTCAACATGGTGAAACCCCGTCTCTACTAAAAATACAAAAAATTAGCTGGGCATGGTGGCGCGTGCCTGTAATCCCAGGTACTCTGGAGGCTGAGGCAGGAGAATTGCCTGAACCCAGGAGGCGGAGGTTGCGGTGAGCCGAGATCGCGCCATTGCGCTCCAGCCTGGGTAACAAGAGCGAAACTCCGTCTCGGGAAAAAAAAAAAAAAAATTTAGGTTATCAAGATGAAGATGCGTGGAGCATCCTTTTTACGTAATAATCTAAATCAACTTTTTGGATGTTTCAGAAATAACACCAGTATCTTTTAAAAAGTTTTGGAGGCTGGCACGGTGGCTCATGCCTGTAACCTCAGCAAGGCAGGAGGATAGCTTGAGGCCACACCGGTCTGGGCAATATTGTGAGATCCGTCTCTACAGACACACACACACACACACACACACACACACACACCCCCAATATTGTGAGATCCATCTCTACACACACACACCCCTAGCCAGCTGTAGTTGTGGGCGCCTGTAGTCCCAACTACCCCAGAGGCTGAAGTTGGGGGGGATCAATGGCTTGAGCCTGGGAGGTCAAAGCTGTGGTACACCATGATGGTTCCACTGCACTCCAGCCTGGCCAGCAGAAGGAACCGTGTCTAGAAAAAAGAAAAAGTTTTGGAAATTAGTTCTTCATGGAATTTCTTGGATTACTAGCTCCAATATGTGAAAATAAACAAATATCAACCAAATAAGAAAAGCATAGGCTATTTATTCAGACCTTACTATAGCAAGCGAGTCAGTCACCATCATTTGCATTTGGTAGGAACGCAAAGGCAGGCAGAGTAGTAGGAAAGCTTTATACTGGGAAAAAGGGAATCCATCAAGGTATTCTTTAATTGGAGGCTGTTGGCATGGAGACGCCGTACATGGGCAAACTAGAAGTAGGATGTGGTATGTGATTGGTTTAGGGGTGCATGTTTGGCTTTGTTTGGTTGGACCTATGTTGGAAGCTATGACAAAATTAAGGAAGCTGTAAGATACCAGGGCATTTTGGGCCCACTGCTTCAGGGGTTGTTGTTTGGCCTCTAGGATCATCATGAGAGATAGTAGTCTGACTTTCTACAAGTCTGACTTGTAGCAGGCTTGCTTCCTGTGCTGTTTATTATAGATAAGGGGGTTGGTTTCCCTGGCAGGTTGTAGATTGTGGGTCAGAGTTCTGTTTTTATACATGATCTGGTCACTGTTCATATATTCAGTCTCTCAATTAGAGCACCCAGGTATACGAAAATATGAATTATAGAAAGCTTGCAGCATCATGGAGAGCTTTACAAGTATGAAGGGAACCCATTTGCTATTGATGTGCCAATCTGCCACTCACTCTTACTGTGTAACGATACCTATGGCAATTGTGGGCTAGAGTGGTCGGTCTGATAGTCACGTGAATAACATGTCACTTGAAAACCATAGTTTTATTTTATTTTATTTATTTATTTTTGCCCACTCTGTTGCCCAGGCTGGAATGCAGTGGTGCAATCATGGCTCACTGCAACCTCAGTCACCCAGGCTTGAGCAATTTTCAGGCCTCAGCCTCCCAAGTAGCTAGGATTACAGGTGTGCACTGCCACGCCGAGCTAATTTTTGTAGTTTTAGTAGAGACAGAGTTTCACTATGTTGGCCAGGCTGGTCTCAAACTCCTGGCCTCAAGTGATTCACCCACCTTGGCCTCCCAAAGTGTTGGAATTACTGGCGTGAGCCACTGTGTCCAGCCTTGCCTTGCACTTTTGTCTTATGCAGATGACTTCTCTCCTTAAACCTCATGAACCAACTTCTGCTGACTTCAAACTTCTGCAGCTTTCTCACCTGTCTCAGCTTTCATATAATTAAAGAGAGTAAGAGCCTTGCTATAGATGAGGCTTTGGTTTAGGGAAGATATGGCTGGTTTGATCTCTATCAGACCACTACAAATTTCTCTGTATCAGCAATAAGGCTGTTTTATCTTCTTATCATTTGTGTGTTCCCTGAAGTAGCACTTTTAATTTTCTTCAGAACTTTTTCAGGAAGCAACTTTTCCAGGCCAGGCCTGATAGCTCATACCTTTAATCCTAGCACTTTGGGAAGCCAAGGTGAGCAGATCGCTTTTATTCAGGAGTTCAAGACCAGCTTGGGCAACGTGGCAAAACGCTGCCGATTGACAACAGTTTGAAAAGAAATTTAATTTCCAATGTGAAAACAAAATAAAAACTGTTCTTGCAGTTATTTCTAAACAGAATTAACATCAAAGTCACTGGAATCATCGGAATGGATGGATTGGATTCCACCCATTCTGATGGATTTGGAAAAATTGGATTCATCAAATGAATTTTTGGCCAACAACTGCTCAAGAATGATGTAACATCATGTGTAGGAATGCTGCGTTTTCTCGGATTTGACATTTTTAGTGATTGAGAATTACTGTATTATGTAAGTGGAAATATCACGACTGAAAACAGAATGCTGTTAATAGAATGATGTCTTTTATTTCCAAAGTCAGTCACCAATCCAAACCAAACCAACCAAACAAATAAACCCAGAAAAATTAGTGGGGTGTGATGGCATGCATCTGTGGCCCCAGCTACTCAGGAGGCTGAGGTGGGAGGACCGCTTGAGCCAGACAGGCAGAGGTTGCAGTGAGCCAAGATCATACCACTACACTCCCACCTGGGTGACAGAGTAATATCCTGTCTCAAATTTATGGCTGAGTGCAGTGGCTCACACCGGTAATCCCAGCACTTTGGGAGGCCAAGGTGGGAGGATTGTGTGAATCCAGGAGTTTGAGACCAGCCTGGTAACATAGCGAGATCTTGTCTCTACAAAAACTACAAAAATTAGCCAGCTGTGGTGGCAAGGGCCTGTGGTGCCAGCTACTTAGGAGGCTGGGGTGGGAGGATCACCTGAGCCCAGGAGGCAGAGGGTGCAGTGAGCCAAAACTGGCTGAGACCCTATCTCAAAAAAAAACAGACTGAGACCCTATCTCAAAAAAAAACAAACTTTTCCTTTGTATTTACAACTTGGCTAACTGCCTGATGTAAGGGGTCTAGGTTTTGGTTTGTCTCAGCTTTCAACATTCCTTTCTCACTAAGCTTAATCATTTCTACCTTTTGATTTAAAGTGAGAGATGTGGGACTCTTTTTTGTCACTTGAACACTTAGAGGTCATTGTAAGTTGTTAATTGGCTTAGTTTCAATATTGTCTCAAGGAATATGGAGGCCTGAGGAGAGGGAGAGAGACAGGAGAACAGCAGATTGGAAGAACAGTCAGAGCACACAACATTTACTGATTATCTTCTTACATAGGCAAAGTTTGTTGTGCCCCCAAACAATTACAATAGTACATCAAAGATCACTGATCATGGATCACTGTAACAGGTATAATAATAATGAAAAAGTTTGAAATATTACAAGGAATACCAAAATGTGACATAGAGACACGAAGCAGACACATGCTGTTGGAAAAATTGCACTAATAGACTCACTCCATGCAGTGTTACTACAAAGCTTCAATGTGTAAAAAATGCAATATCTACGGAGCATAATAAAGTGAAGCACAATAAAATGAGATATGCCTGTATATAACCTTTGCCATGATATCAGGTACCATTTTAAGAATTTATCACGGGGCGGGGGGAAGAATTTATCCCTCATGAGAACTCTATGTGATAGGTACCAATATTATCCCTATTATATTTTTCTTTTTTTTTAACCCGTTTCCTGTGTAGAAAAAAATATGTAGCTTGTTGCTAGATTTAATTTTACATAAGCATGCTCTTTGAGGCTGAAACAAATCTGACTGATTTCCAATGTGAAAATAAAATATAAAAACTGTTCTTGGAGTTATTTCTAAACAGAACTATCATCTAAGTCATTGGAATCATCAGACTCATCTATTTTGGAAAAATCAGATTCATCAAGTAAGTCTTCGGCCAACAACTGTTCAAGAATGATGTTAATATCATGGGTAGGAATGCTACGTTTTCCAGGATTTGACATTTTTAGTGATCAAGAATTACTGTATTTTGTAAGTGGAAATACCACTACTGAAAACAGAATGCTGTTAATAGAATGATGTCTTTTGTTTCCAAAGTCAGTATACGAGAGCAATGTAGAAATAATAATAAAAGCAAGATATTTCATGGCAAAGTTATCTCTGGATAAATGCTGCAGCCACAAGCGCTGCTGGCAAGTATTCTTGGGGAAAATTGGAAAAGGGTTAAAATTTTAATTTATTTTTATTTTTTGTAGAGATGGCATCTCACTATGTTGATCAGGCTGGTCTTGAGCTCCTGGGCTCAAGCAGTTAGCCCACATCGGCCTCCCAAAGGGCTGGGATCACAGGCGTGAGCCACCGTGCCCAGCCTTTTCCTATTTTAAAGAAGGGGCAATATGCAGAGAACTTAAGTTAATTTGTCCAAAGTCACACAGCTAGTAAGTGGGAGAGACATTAAGCAGAGAATCAGACAACTTGGCTCTGGAGTCTATGCATTTAACCCCAAAACCATATGCTGTATCTCTACAAGGAGTCATTGGGAAGGTTAAATGAGACAAACTAAGGAATGTCTGGCACACACACTCAATAGTTCAGAACCACTCACTGTGAGAAAAATATCTTAAAAGTACTCTGGCATAGAAGCCTTTATCTCAAATACCACTGGGAGGCAGTATCACCTTTCAGTTTCCGTTTGTGATTTCATCCACATAGGTGCAAAATCCTTTTCTCCAAGCCTTATACTACCTGGCTCTACCATCATTTTTAGGTTTTTTCGGGGTATATTTATCAGCCCCAATGTTGGCTGCCCCATGGGGCTCTC